CAAACAGGTGGGGAGGAGCTGGCAGCAGAGCCGGATTCAGGAGCCACCTGACCCCGGGCGGGGACTGCAGAGCGGGCGGAGGAGAGCGCGTGTGGAGGCGCCGGGCTGCGCCGGGGGAGGAGCCGCCGAAGAAGCCACCCAGGGCTTAGCAAGGGCCCAGGGGCACGCGTGTCCCCGGGGCTCAGGGGGAGGGGGCCATGCACGAAGCGGCGCGTGGGTTGAGAAGGCGCCAGGCCTGGAGAAAGGAACAACTTCCAGCGGGGGCAGCCTCGCCGGGGAGGGGCAGGACTCGAGTCGCAGTGGACCCCGACCCGAAGGGATTTGGACTAGGATATTCAGGGGCAGGGAGGGGAGGCAGGATGTGTGGAGGCCTCAGGAAGGACAGTGGTGGAGCCGGGAGCCCCCTTGCTTTATCCCACCAGCCACGCTGGGGAGCACCAGGAGGACTCAGAGACATTTTGGGGGCTGTTACCTCAGACAGTACCGGCTCTCCTCAGTAATTATGTCTGCTCACAATTTGTCTTTGAAACGTGTGGAAAGATCCTAAGGTACAGGGAAAGAAACCAAAAGCGGAGGAGAGTCGCTGGCTGCTGACAAGGAGGTAGTGCTGTTTCTTAATGGCAGGACTGAGTGAAGAGTTGTTGTTATTTTTATTGTTTTTGCTAACAGGTTTCTTTTTATCATTGCTTTTATCAAATCAGTTTCCAGTTCTACAACTGCCTCTAGTGTAAAACCAATCTTGGAAAATAATACATTATTCTCTTCCATATGGTATCTCCTTTTTATTTGTTTAAAAAAAAATCTTTCCACAGGTATGACAAGGTAGAAGGTTCATTATTTCTATCAGCTAATTCTTGTCAGTGTAACAGGATGTGTGTGTTTTTTGCATTAAGGCAATCCAAATTTCTAGGCATAAGCAGCATGGAAGATGCTTTATTTCTCTTCCCGTGGTGTGCGCTAGCCCACCTGAGGTCATGCACCCTCTGCGCAGCACAGCTTCACAGGTGTTCCCTTTAAGCCAGAATTCAGCTGTGGCAGGGAAGTAGGGCCAGTGAGCTAACACCTGGATCCAGTGGCTTTCTCTCATGCCAACTGTTATGTGATAACACTGAAGGATTTGATTCTAGTGCCAAACCAGGCACAGTAAGGAAAAAATAAACCCCATTCTTTCTCTCTTACCCACCCTTCAGCCTAGATCCTGTCCTGCCTGGCTTCTTTTACAGATTTAAAAGAACAGAATGTGGCTTCTATCAGTCAGAGGAGCTAAGTCAGCCTTGAGGACGCAGTAGTGGTGGTTGTGTGGCCTGGGTAGAATTTTTCTTTCCCCAGATGCTCTGAAGCATAGTCTCTCAGCTGTAGAATGCACAAGTTCCAGGATTTCCCCTCTATTCAAGAACTTTTTACTGTTAATCTATTCTACAGCAAGTGTGTCACTTGTAGATCATCAGATCAGTGTTAATATGTGCATTTGTAATACAGAAGAATTAGAGATTCAATTTCTAATGAACTTAACAGGTTCATAGGGGGGCAGATTTATCATGGTCCTATAAAGGAAATATAGGGCAGCCATTAAGATCTCTATGGCAAATACCATTAAAGCAGGATGTTTCAGCAGTTGGAAGAGCTGAAAGCAAAGCTTGTTCTCCACTATATGCTGGTAATTGCCCACAGCAACAAAGCCCACAGGAACTTGGTCTGGACATCAGTTACGCATGAGACTCCCTAACATGAACCACAGGGTTATTCAGCCTTTGAACAGAGGAGACAAGATGCCTCCCCTCTGTTTCTTTGCCACTCCTACTGCATTCTAGTCCATCATGGTGTCTGTGGTTGAATTCCTTCATGGATGTGGTAAAAAACTTTTCATCTGTTTTCTCAGGTGTGTGTTTCTCCATTACCTTTAAATTAGGACGTTTAATAGGGTAATTACCTGAGCTTTTTTTCTGATTTGCAGATTCCCTTATGTTGGCAGCTCTTAATCCTTTCCACCCAAGGCCTAAATCCTTCCCTCTTAAATTGGTGTCAAGTTACAATTAGGTAAAGTATTATTCTCTTAGTTGTAAAATATTAGGCCAAACTCTTTTTTTTTCAGCAGCAGCTATTGGTTTTGACTACCTAAACTGTGAGTGCTTAGCATGAGAAATCAGAGGGTCTGATCTGCAGATGTGCTGAGCATCCCACCACTCCAGGGGCAGCCCTAGGTACTCAGAACTTGTATTCTGCTAAATGTGGAAACTTTGATGTCCTTCAGGAAGTATCTTAAGTATTTACCAAGTGGCTAAGCAGTCATTTTCTGAGCACTGTGTAGTACCTCACAGAATTTGGAACTTGGGTTTAGTTGCAAGGAATCAAGGTCTCTAGTGGGTATGATTTGCTGTTATATTTGTACCATTTCCTAGGGCTGGAGATTGTGGCCACACTTAAAAACAAAGCTGAGTTGAAAGAAGCATTTTTGAAGAGCACTTACTACTAGAGAAGAAGCATTGATGAGAACGCTTGCTCTTCTCTGCTTTGAAGAAAGACTGTGGAGGTGGGCCAGCGGATTGTGCTTTGGCTACTTTGAGAAATTCATCCTCATTGCTACCAATGGGATGGGATGTTTCCTGCTACCTCTAGCTGTTTTTTGAAATATCAGTCCAGTTCAGCAGTGCTATAACTGGGGACAAGTGACCAGGGCAGCTCCCTGGGTGCTGATTTGGGATTCTGGGATTCATTACTGAATGAATCTGTAGTTTGTTAATAACTCTCCATACATGTTATAGCTTTATAACTGGTGACTCAAACAGTAACAAGTAATAAGAGACAACAGCTAACTAGCTCTGTCCCTGCAGAGTAGATATGCTATTTTACTTATCTCTAGTGCAATGAAATACATAAGGAGGAATAGAAATGCTTCTGAAAGACGTAACTAATTAAACCACAAGTGTGTGTGAACCGTGGGGAAATCAAATATTGCAACATATGTGTAACTCATGAATATGTACCTAACTTCTCCCTCACAGGAAATGTATCTGCCGACTTCTTAGGTTTTGTAATAGAACACAGTACTTTCTTCAGTACTACAGAATTTTTATATATATATATATATATATATATATTTTTTTTTTTATTATTATTTTTATTTTTATTTTTTTTTTCTTCCAGTAAACTAATTTTTGGGGGAAACACTATTTTTATATTGGGGAAAGTCCTATCTCCCAAAAGCCTGAACTGTTATATCTGTGCCTTCCACAGGATTGTAACATCTTCAGAGTAAAAGCCTTCTTGGTGATCTGCATTGTCAGTACAGTTATTATTACAGTTCCATTAACTTCAGTGAGAATGCTGAGTAAACAAGAATGTTGGGGTCATGCTTTAAAATGCAAAATATCCACAAAGCTTTTTCATTGCTGTTTAGTGATTTTTAACAACAAGTTAGTGGCCAAAACAAGGTGTATATTCAATAATTTCATGTTTCTGTTTAAAAGAAGCAGAGTGCAGAGACTGAAATGGGACCTGATCCAAAGTTCTTTGAAGTAAATGGAAATATTCCTATTGACTCCATTAGGCTTTGAATTAAGCTAATGGTCCAGAGTCAAAAAATAGCCTCTAATTCTTTGAAGACAGGCCACACAATACTGTTCTACCATGACAGGGAACACTTATTTCTGTAATTACTCAGGGATCAGTAAAAATTGATTGCTAACTAGAAGTGGTCTTTAACTAAAGGTTAAACCAAACTTTTATTTGAAACCACACAGGTACTTTAAAAGTTTAATTTGGGACAGAAGATTGACAATGGGGGGTGGTCCTCAGTTCAGACTTTGCTCTTTAGTATTTTTCTTTTTGTGTCAAATGCATTTTTTTGTAGCTCATTATCATAATTAAAATACTTTTTCAGGATTAATGTATACCTTATTTATTTTGATATTTTATCAGTGGTACAAATTTAAGAATATTTCTGTTTTGTGAGGAAAGTTTAAAAAAATCCTTTACTTAGATGACACTGAATTTTTAAAAGGCTGTTTTACAATTGAGTATCTGTTCAAAATATATTTTACATTTCTCCCCCTTCCCCTGACAACCCCAAGAAGTTAATACAGGCAGTATAATTACTTTTAATCTTTTGACATGTTATATCTTGTTCAGATTTGTCATTATAGTGGAAAAGGAAAATTGCTGCAGAATTGCATGC